ACCAGTCTACCCTATATCTAGTAAATGCTAGAGCATTCGCCAAGGTACAGGATAGTTCTAGAAACGTGGCGTGACACTAGTCATGTGACCTCGCTGACGCAACAATAATTTAAAACACTAACCGCTCGACGACGCTCGGACCGAAGCAAGATGCTAAAATTTATATTTTTCGAAATTCCTTAGTGCAATTTAATACAAATTTTTACATGTTTTCAGTCTGTTTCTGCAGCCGAACTTACATATATATGATTGAAAAAAAGTTTTGAGGGGAATATTAAATGACTTATTATTATTACTTCGTATTCATCCCATTCCAAAAGTAATCAACAATATAGTTTAACCTAAGTTTTTGTCTTCGGAAATTTTGGTTTTTTCCTTCCCCTCTTGAAAATACAAACAAAACTAACCCTTATTTGATGTCATCAAGTGAGAAGATTGGTCTGTCAAAGAGTTGATTGCTGGTACGTCAGAGATGTCCTTCCCATGCAAGCTAATATTTTTTAGTTCCGACAAATCTATAAAAAAGAAAGATTATATCATTGAAACTGTTATAGATTAACATTACGAACGTTGTTTGCTATGAAGCAAGGAGGGCAGTTCCCTCAAAAACCTAGTCCCCCCCAGAGATGATTGAACTTTTTTTCCAGTTGAAATAAGTATGATTTTTCAAACTTCGTTATTTTTAGATCTAACCAGAAAATACAGCGGTTTCTATGTGATGTAATCACGTTTGCTCAGAATTTTAACGCGCAACCGTGAATGCCTTCATTTATTTGATTGATAATTCATAGTTGTTATGTGCTTGGAGCAAAGTTACCTGGAGACCCACCCTTAACTACCGTTACCCCACCACCTCTTCGACTGGTGGCTCAGAAATAAACAAACAAAATGAGTCGTTAAATGATGGTGATAATGAAGGACAACAAATTGATGGCTCTGCAGCTGGACCTTCCTCGGGTTCCCCTTCTACTGTTTCTTCGATATACTTAACACCAGACTAAAAACTGAAGTACATAAAAAATTTGGTTTCTCTCACGGAGTTGTTAATAACGACGAACAGCTGCAATGCGTTGTTTGTTCGCATATTTTAGAAAATGACAGCACAAAGCCAAATAAACTTACAAACCATTTTGAAAACAAACACTGTAAAACCATTGAGTTCTTCAAGAGACAAGTGATTGAAAAGCAGTTCAACGTTCCATCAAAAGCCTTGAAAGCTTCCTTAGAAGCATCTTATTTGATTGAGAGAAGCATGAATCCACATAATATAGGAAAGACATTAATTCTTCCTGCTGCCATAAAGAGAGGAATGGTAAGACCCTCAATTCTAGCCCTTATCACGTGATACTGTCGTAAGACGTAAGAAGCATCTCTGCTGACACCAAAGTGCAACTGATAACACGCATCCAGAGCAGTCTGAAGTTCGCCATATATTTTGATGAAACTGTAGATGCTTCAACATTTACACTTTGTATCCTACAGAGGGAAGCACTGGTTTCGAAGAAGTTGCAGCCCGAAGCAAACAAGGTGCTAAGAAATACTGTGCGTATTGTGAACTTTGTGAAAATCAAGAGTTTGGAACAGCAGGCTGTTTACCGTTTTTATTTTACTATTATTATTTTTTTGTAAAGAGATGTTCCTGCTGCATATAGAGGTGCGCTGGTTGTCTGGCGGGAAGGTACTCAGTAGCATTGTGCAACTATAGGACAAGCTTAGTATTTTTTGCTAGACTGTATCCTCACACTAACATAGCATTTTATGGATGAAACGTGTTTTTTAGTACTGTGATCTCTGGCTGATATTTTTTTGATAAACTCAACAACCTTAACTTGTCACTGCAAAGCCGGAATAGCAGCATTTTGTAGCTGAATGACAAAGTGTCCACATTTCGCAAATAACTTGTGTTGTGGAAAAACCAATTTGAGGATGAAAACTATGAAATATTTCCTTGTGTCAATGAACTCTTGGGAGAAAATGAGCCAGTTAAGTCATAGTATTATTTGTGATGCTGTTTTTATGCTTTAGAAAAAATTCAGTCTCAATTTGCAGATCAATTCCAAGAGTCAACGGGAGAGCATGATTGGATCCAGAATAACTTCTCATCTGTCAATGGTAACTCAAGAAGAGCTCATAAAACTATCCATTGATAAAACTCTTCTGACATAATCTAATTTCAAAACTTCTTAGGAACTTCTGGATGCTAGTTCGTAAAGAATATCCTGACCTGTCAAGAAAAGCGATTGATACGCTTTTGACTTTTACATCAACATACCCGTGTGAGTTGATGTTTTCTACTCTGACTGCAACCGAAACAAAACAGCGATCTCGTCTGCAGGTAGAGGGAAATCTCCGAGTTGCAATGTCAACAATTTGGCCAATAATTGACCTCATCTTATTCCAAGCTCAATGCCCCAGTGGCTCAGCGGCAGGTCTTTGGACTTATAATGCTTCGGGTTTAGATACTTGTGGGGGAGGGACACAGCACAGATAGCCCATCGTGCAGCTTTGTGCTCCACTAAAAACAAACAAATCAATCTTTCACACTAAATTGGTGAGTAAACTGAAACTGTTTGCCTTATGCTATGTACCATTTTAAGATTTGTTTTGTTTTTTATACGGGGTTGCAGGAGTGCAACAAAACGCATGTTTAGAAAGCGATGCGCCATAAAACGTTTGCGCAGCAATGCTCTAGACTCATAATTTTGTTCATGACAATGAAAGAGTTATATTTGGAATTTAATAATTCCATCTTAAATGGAATCTTATGCAATACATGAACTAAACGACACTAACTGAAAACTTTGACAAAAGGGCAGGTAAACACGCAGTAGAATATGCCGCCTACACGGTTACTCATAACTAAATAGCCACATTGAATGTCACTTTTATAACACACCACAGCTAAAACTGGCTTGAACCGTGGACCTTTTGATACACAGCCCCGAAGGTAATATCTAGACCACACCTGGTAATATTAAGTAGAAAACAAAGAATAACAGATACATTCTTTCGACAAAAATTGTGGCAAAAAATACCAGTCACAGTTTAGACACTCATGTTTGAAACAAACTGCTATGATCCTTCCAGTTCAGTTGGATATAAAATTAAAAACAAAGGAATATCATTTTAAGATACCCTTGAGTCAGAAACTAAAACTGTTACATACAATATGGATATTGATTTGAAAACAAAGCCTAAGTTATTTGTTTACCAGTGTCGTTCTTCAAATGTTTCACTGACATTACATGTAAGTTTCTTCTTCACACAGATACTCCTGACAAATGACTAGAAACAATAATCTCATCATCTCTCGAACTTGTCACTCCTAAGCAACATAATAACAGTATCTTCACGCATAGCAATTCAGCAGCATTTTTGAATGAGTGTTATTCCGCAAGACGTGAGAAGAAAAAATTTGGATAAATGATAAGAAAGAATAAATTGACACGTCTAAATGAAAATTTTTCCATTTTATTTTGTGCGATGTTTCGAACAGACGTCCTTCGTCAGGCAAGTAAAGACTTAATTCATTGTATCACGTTCTTTAGTGCCTGACGAAGGTTGTCTACTCGAAATATCTCACAAAATAAAATGGAAAAGTTTTCATTTAGACGTGTCAATTTATTATTTATTATCGTTTATCCAAACAGAGCAGCTTCGCCACTCCTCAAAAATATGATAACAATGCTCTCAACTTCTAAGTAACATGATAGAAATACTTTAACATCCCAGCAGCATTCTCACACCAACTAAACATGGTAGGAGTATTTGTATGCCCAAGCAACATTGTAACAATATTCTCATTGAATGCAACACTGTAACAGCATTTTCACCATCAAGCACCACGACAACAGCATTCTTCACTATCCTGAAAATGTGCGTCATTATATGACATTTTGCGATGTAAAAAGAATATACTTATATAGTTATAGGTTGAAATGGTCGCATACAATGGCTTCTGTTGACACTTTATAATTGGAAGTCCGAAGCCGTATTGTTACTGTCAGGTTTTGTAGGCCGGAGTCTTTACCGTAGGTGTCTGTGGCTTGTTGGTGATAAATTTCAACAATAAACAAACAGCACACAGTCCACTTGTTTTAAAATAATATATTATAACAATTCAAATATATATACAAATGTTCTTTACACTGTTGGTTATCCCATTTGTATCCAGAACTCTAACTAATTATATCTTTCTCGTCAAAGTCCACACAGGCTGGTTCAATTACTTTTGAACACAACTGACAAGACGAATTATTATTCTCTGCTTTCTTATTACAATACAGTCTGTGATAATTTTGCTTTAAAAATCGTCACTATATGCTCTTTATTGCTAAACTCACAATCACACAGTCTAGACCTAATTAATAATCTTTCGATGCGTATTTATACCCTGACAAAAGTCTAGAACTTTCCACGCAATACTAAATATTCTGATTCAATAATACTCAATTAAAACAACGAGAAAAATTCGGAAAGTTCTAATAATATGACGCAACAATATAACAATCGCTAACTCATAACAACTGAACGCATACGCTACACAACGTATGATTCGTTTTTGTTTTCAGACACTGCTGATGACCTAGTCACCATCCCAATCTTTATCTGGTGCCGGCGATGAATTTGAAGCTTGTGAGGTTAACATTATTGAGTTTTATTCTTGTGGTGATGAAACTGATGACATGCAAACTGGTTTACCTGAGCCTCTAACTGCTTCAAGCACTAACAACTTCGTTCTTCCTGAACCATCATCATCACACTGCAATATTTCAATCACGGATTCATCACAGATATGTCATGGTATTTCTGTAGTCACTGGGTCATTCATTGACATTGGCAATTTATTGAAACTAATAAAATTATTTGATGAAAAATGCCAAGCTATTTGTAATCTATCGAATACTAAAACGTATTCCTATCTTTATAAGCATGTTGCACCACCAAAAGTTTTTCCTACCACCTTTTCCCATGGGTGTAACTGCAAGTTTAAAATATCTTGGCTTGAAAAATACCTATGGTTAATATAAAAGGCCAAAATTAGATGGAATTTTTTTTGGTCCTAGTGCTACTCTTCTTCCAGTGCATAGTCGACATGATAAAGTAATAATTGTCAACAAATCATTTAACCTGGGTAAAAATTAGCGATACTTTAAGCAACCATTCCAAGCTTGATTATCATCGTGATTCTATGCAGACTGCTGATGCTTTGAAGGCTTCCATTTAACATCCATAATCCAGTAGAATTGATATTAGTACTAACAGTGCAACCACGTATAACTCAGAACAAACATTTTTTTTTTTAAATTGTTCGTGCCATTTGTTTTTAGGAAAACAAGGCTTGGCATTTGATGGTGATACCGAAGATGTAAATTTTTCCAAAAATTCTATCAATTTTCTGGCCTTGCTGAAACATTTTGCTGAAAATTATGAAATGTTGAGAGCTCATTTGTATCATCCCAAGGCAAAAAATGATACATATTTATCTCACCGTTCACAAAATGACATAATCAAT